CACACACACACACACACACACACACACACACACACACACACATGCACACACACACGTGGTGATGGCACACAGGAATTGCTCACTAAGGAGGGTGCAGGCATCAGCACGTTTGACAGGCTTCCTATGGCGGGCCTGGGGGCTTCAGTGGGTAGGAGGAGTCAGGCAAGAAAGACAGCAGAGTGGGGTTTGAGACCAGTCTGCCAGGCCAGCACTTAGAGCCTTAGACCAAACCCTACCCAGGCTAATGGGGCTTCCCCATCCTCCCCAAATGCCCTCACAGGCACCAAACAAGGCCAATATTTTTAACAGAGATTTAAGGGTAAAAGAAACAGAAAAGAAACAAGAGAGGAAAGAATGAAGGAAAAAAAGGAAAAGAGACAAAAAGGGAGAGTACTGACCATGAAATTATGCATAGAGCTATAAAAATTTTGCAACTAAGAGGAAGAGCCAGCTTTCTTGGTTGGATGGGAGGATTCTAAATGTAAATCAAATAGCAACTCCCATGGAAGGTAAATCAATTTAAAGGCAGGCAGAGGAGTTGATTTGAGTTTTTCCAGGAGAATCCCCAGGTTCATCTGGTATCCCCAGTCAGTGTTTCATGAAATATTTGTAGAACAAATGAACAAATGAATGAGTGAATGAGTTAGGGACTAAAAGAGCATGAGAATTTTCTGCCTCTACTCCAAAGCCAGAAATGGGCTCAGGAAAAGACATGCCAAGCCCAGGATTTGCTTTCCAGTCTGTCCAGGAGAGGGCTATGTCCAGACATGGGTAAACAAGGTAGCTTTGGAGTGAACCAAGGGCCCTGGCTCCAGTGGAAAAGGGCCACCCAATTCTATTGTCAAAAGCGAGCAGAGTCAAACATTTGCCCACATGCTTCCACTCTCCACAACTCCAGCAGCTCCATCAAAGTAAATCCACTAGCCCAGCCCCTTGGGGGGTCACCCACCTTGACCAAGGCAGCCCCAATCAGCCCTCCACACAGCTGGGAGATCCAATAGGGGAGGAGCATCATCACATTGAGGCCTCCAATCAGTGTGGCCGCCAGCGACACTGCAGGGTTAAAGTGTCCACCACTGTAGCAGAACAGAGCAGAAGGAAGTCACAAGGTCAGGGTCCAGAGTTGAGTAAAAGACTGTAAGAGAATGCATCCCAGGCTGGACTTGCAGGTCCAGAGTCAGTCCAGGTCCCCAGACTGAGGTGCCACATGGTGGGAGGAGCAGTCCATAAGCCCAGACTGCAGGTTGGCCCTAGAGGAAAACATGTTAGGAGACCGTACTCCTTCCATAATGCCTCAGGTCCCTCTGGTTCTTCAGAGTGTGGCCACAGGTCGCAATGAGGCCAAGCGAGGCTCCAAATCAGCAAAGCCCCCCTGGCTTGGTCCTGTGACTAGCCAGGTCCTGAATAAGAGCCCATGATTTGTTGAACTACTGTGGGCTGAATGTAAAATTGGGGTCAGACATTCCAGCTGTATGTAACACTGAGAATCAGGGGTGGGGCTGGAGGGTTAGGACTGGGAAATGGATGACAGACAGGCAAGTCAGAGCCCAGGGTCAAAGGCAGGTCAGGTGGTCTGGCCTCTCCATTGCTCATGGGTAAAGAAACCTCCATTTCAGCAAGACTCTTGAGCTGCTCAGGCCCCAGAGCCAAGGTGTCCCCACCCCCACCCCTTCTGCTTCACTGGGATCCCCCTCCCCTTGTCTTCTGATGAAGGATCTGTCCCCAGAGGCTGGCCCGTAGAGTCCCCGGGTTCCCAAGGGTGGATCTCTCCAAAGGAGGAAAGTGACCCCAAGATTCTGTGCCATGATTTCTACCTGATAAGGCTGTTGTAGAGATATAATAAATTAATTCATATATGGCACATAACAGTCTGTATAGTTAGTACTCAATCAATGTCCACATCTGCGCCACTGCACAGTGAGGGTCAGAGCCGTGCCATGGTCACCGCACTGAGAAGTGACACGTGATCCACCTGAACAGATGACCCTGTGCTTTTCATTCCGCTCACAGCCTCATGAAAGAGGACTTCAAAAATTGCTTCAGGACCAGGGACTTAGCTCAGTGGTGCCGCCGCCTGCCTCACAAGTGCAAGGACCCAAGTTCGATCCCCAGTGACAAAGAAAAAATTTTAAAAACTGCTCCAAAAAGTGGCAGGAATAATTGGATAAGTGTTCAAAGCAAGAAGAAGAATCTTGAGGATTCACGGCAATGTGTCCTTTTCTGTAAAACATAATTTTGATCATATCTGCCCTTAAACTAGGTGGTCCTGACAACCCCACACACCTTCCTACCCCTTCTCACTGAGCTCCCATTTGGAAGAGAGCAAAGCCAGATGAACACCCCTCCTACCTGCCCCTCCTCTCCAGGACTGGGCAGCCTGAGTCCCCTGCAGGCACCCGGATACCTGAGCAGAAGCACATCTCTGCTTTCCCTAACAGCCCCCAGAGCAGTGCAGGCCAAGCTCTTCACCTTTCCTTCCCCGTCCTCCTTGGGGGCACTCGGGTGTGAACTCTGGGACCACAGGGCTTGGCCTTGACTCCTAGCTCTGCCCCTCTCTACGCTTCGACAAGTGACACTGCCTTTCTCTTTCCTGGAGGTAAATGGGGACCCCACAAGATGTCAGAGGGATTAGTGGTCTGAGAAGTGCTTAGAATATTGCCTGGTATGAGGTTAGCCAGCACTATGTGTGGCCTTGAAAAAACAATTGAAGAAATACACTGTTTCCCCCTGCCCCTTCAAGTGGGGACATTTGAGTTTGGAGAGTGACCTGCTCACAGGCTGCAGACCTGGAAGATCACCCGGGCAGCCTCACTTCCACCCCACAGTGCTCCTTACATCGTGAGTGGGCCTGGGGTCCTGCCAACAGCTGTGCCCCAATTTGGCACCAGGCTGAATGCAGCTGCTCTCACCTGATGTTCCCCAGCGTGGCAATGATGAGCCCCAGGGCCAGCCCATGCGCGAGGGCTGGCTGCAGCCTTCCAGCGTCCGGTCCATTCTCCACGACCGACAGGCACCCGATGAAGATGAAGAGGGCAGAGCCCAGCAGCTCAACCAGGCAGGGCTGCACGAAGCTATCGTACCAGGACACACGACACCTACCCACCATACTGGTCTCCTTTGCCTTGCCACTGCCACACTGAGTGTCGCACACAGGCACCTGCCATAGGGAAAGGAGAGGAAAGGTGGGTGTGAGGAGAACCCCATCAGAGCCCCAGGCCCGATCCTGGGTCAGCGCTCCCTCCAGCCAAGCTTGGAGCACAAGCTGCCACTGCGGCTCACCTCTCCCGACATCAGAGTGAAGAGGCTCGGGGCGCGGGCTCCTGCTAGGGCTGCGGGAAATCAGCCCGCCCTGCGGACCTGAAGGACACAGAACCAGGATCCGGCTACAGGCTCTGCCCCTTTTAAAGTGGCCAGGAGCTTAGTGAAGGAGTTGAGAAAACAATAAAGAGTGGTTGGGAGGTTACCCTGCATCTGGAGAGGAAGCTAATCTCACCAGGGCTAGGCCGGGGGGTCAGGGTGGGGGGGGTCAAGGATCACTGGGCTTTCTGCCTGGAAAGGGAGAGGCACTGGCTCTCTTCAGCACCTGGGCTATAGAGATGGACCCGGCTCCCTGTAGACCAAAGGTGACAATCTGTAAATAGGCACAGAGAGGGCTCTCTGGGGACAGATGCTTGTGCTGAGTAACAGCCAGCTTGGCTGAGCAGAGTAGCACAGGCCTGTAATCCCAACATTTTGAGAAGCTGGGGCAAGAGGATCTCAAGTTCCAGACCAGCCTGATCAACTTAGTGACTTAGTGTGACCCTATCTCAAAAGCAAAAGAGAGAGAGAGAGAGAGGGAGTGTGTGTGTGTGTTGGGGATGTAGCCCAGTGTGAAGGCCATAGGTTCATTCCCCAGTACTGCAAGCAAATAAATACACACACGCGCGCGCGTGCGCGCACACAGAGCAAACTCCTCTGCAATCATTTCCCACAGTTCCCACCGACATCTCCTCCTGTCTGAGGCCCGGCCACCTGTGCTTATCCTGGTAGCCTGAGCCAGGCCCAGACGTGCAGGTGATGATCCCCCTGGACACAGCCACAGAGGCAAAGTGGCCCCACCATGGGCTCTGGACACAGGCTGCCTGCATTTTTTTGCCCGGTACTGGGAATGGAGCTCAGGGTTCGTGCACACTGGCTATGCACGTAACCATAACTACGTCCCTAGCCCGGGCTGCCTGGATGAAACCCCAGCTCTGTCATGAGCTGGCCTACAACCTTGCAGAAGTTGCTGAGGCTCTCCGCACCTTCACCATTTCATCTGTGAACCCATCGCAGCATCCTTGTGAGCTTTCAGTGAGTTAGTAGATGTGAAGTGCTCAGGATGACACGTGGTACACTCAGTGCTCACACGTTCCTTTAGGACACACCAGTAAAAATTGTGTATAAATACTAGTGTCTGTTAATTTAGAATATATATAGTTAGACGTCTCTAATATTGATTGAGCCCATTCAGTGTGCCAGGCACTGGGCTAAAAGCCTTGTGTTATCTCATTTTAACTTCACAGCAACACTGTGGTCTAGGTACTGTTTTTATAGCCATTTTATAGGAGAGAATATAGAGTTTTAGAAGGTTGACTTTCTCAGCATGATTGCAAAACTAATGGGCTGTTACAAAAGGACATTGTGATTCCACTTATTTGGCTGTCCACTGTAGCCAGATTTGTAGGTACAGAGAGTCGAATGGTGGTTCACAGGCCTGGAGGTGAGGAAAGATCTAACAGGCACTGAGTTCCAGTTTGGCAAAGCCAAAATGTTCTGGAGATGGATGGTAGAGACAGATGCAAAATAACACGAAGGCACTTACCACTGAGCAGTACACGGGAAAATAGTAAAATAGTAAATTTTATGTCATGTATATTTTACCACTATTGGAAGAAAAAATACTTGTTGGCTAACCTACTCCATACCTTTCCAAGATGGATGGATGGGCAGATGGGAGATGAGGGAGGAGAGATGGTAAGACAAGTTTCCTTATTCATTCACCCAACGCACATTTAAATGGCTGCTGCTGTGAGCCTGTCACTATTCTGAGTTGGCTAGAGATGGAACAGTAGTCAGGAACGTAGAAAATTCTGCTTTGTGCTCATTGCTATTATTGGAGCACTTGTAGGCAGAGAAGTAGATGGAGAAATAATGTCAGAGACCATGGCGTTTTAATGATAATTTCTACATTTACTGACTGCTCACTACATATCCAGTCCCATGCTGCACCGTTTCTGTTCACAACAGCCCTCTAGGTACATCCTATTACTTATTACCTCCACTTCCCTGTGATAAAAATGAGGCACAAAGAAGTTAAATGATTCCCTCATGGTCATGTAGATTAAAAGTTTCTGCTTCAGGAAAAAAGTGGATACAACTGGACAAGGGCTCTACAGTTTGCTGACAGCCTTGTCAGCCAGAAGCCCGGGAACACAGGGCCTCTCTCTGTTGAGCTCAGAGGGCTTAGGACCTGCTTACTTGCCGATTATCTTTAACTCTGTTCACTGCCTTCTCCTACCACATAGCTCAAGTACAGATGTATCTTAGACCTTCCTTCCTTGTCCCTGTAAACAGCAAGATAAGATAGTCACTGGACCCTCAGTTCTGCTGTCTCCTTCATTCTTTGCCCTAACTCTTCCAGTGTAGCTCTCAGAGCATCTCTCTCCTGTTTTCATCCAGGCCCTCATCATTCGTTGCTTAAAAAAAACACTAACATCCATTATGCACCAGCCAGAACCCCTGAGCTGAACCCCTTGGATTCATTCCATCAGTATTTACAATGACCTGCTATCGTGCCCATTTCACAGGCAGAGCTCCCTGCTGGTATTGCTGTAATAACCTCTTGTCTAACTTCTGTGTCAGCCAGTTTTCATGCATTCCCTTCATGCTGGAGCCAGCAGGGCACAGCTTAGACACTGAGGATGGATTTGGGGATCGGTGCTCTCTGTCCTTCACCTTCTCTCTGCTCTCTCCAGCTCAGTCTCCTCTTCTGCAACAGCAAACTATGGTGACACCATCCCCAAAGTTCTGTGGGTGAACTGAGACAATGCACTTGGCATAGGACCTAACTCAGAGCAAGATCCCACGAACATCACATATGACATATGTTAGCATAGACCAACTGCTCTACAAATACCCCTGCCAAGTTCCAGTGCCTTCATATAATAACACTTGATCCATGACCCCAATAACAGTCATAGCGGGCTTTCTACCAAATGATGACCTAGGGAACCAGCTCATTGCCATCCTGGAGATCTACCCCCAAAGTCCTGGGATCTTCTCCAGCAAATGGGGAAAGAGAATGCACAGGGTTGTGCCAGAGAGTGCTGTGAGCCAGTCCTGGAAACCACTACTCTTTCTGCCAGCTGCACTTGATGAGCTGGAACTTGATCACATGACTTCCACCTGACTGCATAGGAGTATGAGAAACATAGTCCAGCTGCGTGCAGAGGAGGAAAAAGAAAGGCGTTGTGTGAATCCCAGGCAATTTTGACCACAATGTAGCTGTCCCACAGATTATCCATCCACATCCCTCCCTAACTTACATGCTTTCCATGGGTTCCAGGCAAAAACAGAATTCCTTAGCCAATCACACTGGCCTTAAGTCCTAGCCTCCAGTTCATCCCTTGCCATGTGAACTCTGTACAGTTCAGTGGGGAAGGCCACACACTCCCACCCCACCCCCCAGCAGTGCCACACTGCCCTCTCAATTTAGAGTCCTCTTCTGCCCACTTGGCCAACTTTTCATTTAAATCTCAAATCAGGTACCTTGTCCTCACTGATTCCTATGCTAAGAAGATATTAGTCCTCTAGACAAGCCCCTTCCTCACTAGAGCCAAGGACGGATTCCATACCTCCAAAACCACTGGTTCTCCAGAGAAAAGCAGATGGTCATTCAGGTAAACAATATATTACCCGTACATGAGAATTTTTCTATTGCCTGATGGCCTCATATACAATGAGACCTGAAAAACCCTGGGGTGAATGAGATGGTATTTCCCTAAGGAGTTCTTTGGGTGGTAAACCTCCCAGCCTTCCCATCCCTCGTTGGCATGACCAAGGCTTCCAATTTTTAACCCTGTTTGAGTGACAACAGTTCAAGATGACTCTCCAGTCGCCACCAGGTCCGGATGGTTGTGCTTTATCCTGGAACATTACCCTTCCCCCTTTGCTTGCAATGACAGCTGGATTGTCATGCGAGAATGGAGTGCTGGGGCTCCAGCATCACAACAAGACCGTGAGGCGCAACTTGCCACACAGTGAGTCCTTGGCAACTTCACCAAGACCCAAGACCCACCCAGACCACCTTCTCCAGGCTTCCTGTTAAATTAAACTGCGGTCCCCAGGCTGTGTGTCAGAGCACCCTCACAAATTCATGGAGGGGCTGTGTATTTAGAGTTTCCAAAGGTAAAACAGTGGAGCTGGGTAGCTGTCAGCTACCATCTGAACTACTAGCTCAAGAAAGCTAGATGTTTAATATTATATGACCCTACATTCCTTTTGGTGACAGTATATCTTTGTAAAGCCAGTTTCATAGCAGTTGCCATGATAAAAATCCAAGCACCTCAGAGAAAATCATTGTAAAAGAAATGCACATAGCAGTGTGCAGTCTGATTCCAAGGTCTGGAGAACTGTGTAGTATTCCAAAGGCACACACATGCCTTGGCGAGGAATTGCAGTGTTTAAGAATGAAAGGTAAGGGCCAGGGATTTAGCTCAGTGGTTTCACCGCCTACCTTGCAAGCACAAGGACCCAAGTTCGATCCCTGGTACCAAAAACAAAAACCAAGAATGAAAGGTAAGAACTCAAGAAAGTGAGTCATTCGAGTATAAAGAAAAGTATAAAGAAGTATAAAGAAAAGATGGGAATAAAATGTGTATTTTTCAATGCAGGTGTATTATTTAGTGGACATGTATTCTTTTCAATGTATACTATTATATACATGAAATGTATGTGTACTTTTTCAATGTAAAGTACGTGTATTATTTTTTCTACAGGTCTTTTTTCAAACAGCCACTAGATTGTCAGCATATAATTACTTATTAAGTTTTTGGATCCAATTACTTTATGAAAAGAACTATTTAGTAACCCTTCAACTAGGTGCAATGAAGTTGGGAATTTCTGAAATAAACAGTGAGTTGGGTGTACTGGAACACACCTATAATCCCAGCACTGGGGAGACAGAGGCAGGAAAATCACTGCAAGTTGAAGGCCAACTTGGGCTACACAGTGAGACCCCTATCTCAAACAAGAGGGGAAGCTTCTGGGATTTATAGAAAAGTTTATTTCTAGCTGATGCATCATCCCCTGCATTCTAGAGATATGGGACTTGTAGTGTAATAAGTG